TCTCCTAGTTCAATGAGAAGTTTTGAACTAATAGTGTTTAGACAAGATACCATGTCTGCATCTTGTACTGTGAATAACTATTACAAAGACAACAATATGCAATGTATTAATTATCGGAACTGTCCTGCTAACCTGTTTTGAAACTGTCTCATTGCTATTTGTTTCTCAATAAAATTATTTTTTTTGAAAAAAGACATCGTTCTTCCTCCCAAAAAAGATAGGTCTCAGAGAAATGGGATTGTCCCTGTGTAATTAAGCAGAAGCCCATTGGCCTAAAAAGCAAACCAAGCAAAGAAGAATATCCCGCCTCTCTCTGCTTAGACAATGCTGTCTTAATCTATTTTCTGTAAAATGCTCCTGAGATTTCAGATCACATTACTTAAAGAGATAGTGTGAAGGCATACACCTTAGAGAAGTACATGCAGTTTTCTAGGTTTCTAGTCCTTTTCCAGTTCCTGCAGTGGCAGCCAGCTCATCGGAAGTGAGGCTGCCAGAAGACAGCACATTGTAAATGTATAGTATTTGCTCTGCAGAGTAAATGTTGTATCTCCGTACATTACCTCCACTGTTTCCCTTGAAAATCTTCAATTTGTTCTGTAAGCAAAGCCACACACAAAATAGAATATTTTCCTTCTCCCTAGACTCTTCTCACTGGCTAGCAGAAATTATTTTCAGAGAGAAATAAGCAAGCCTCTCTCTGAATTTTTAAGTCAGTAAGACTCAGCCTAAGGTAAAAATACACCAGTGATTAGAGCTTTCAGTTTTAATTTCAGCATTTACCTGCAACAGGAGGAAAACTGAAATTAATTTTCCACTTTACTTCATTGGCAAACTATTTTTCACTTTGCTGAGTGTTCAAGGCACAGTGAAAAATGGCAAATAATAAGCTGCCGGCGTGCTGAGCACACGGTTGGAGGCCCAGAGACCTCCCTCATGATGCAATCACGGGCCTCCCCCACCATGAAGCCTTGGCTCCCAGAGGCCTTCTGTGCCAGTGGGGGCCAGAGGTCCCAAACCTGAGTGACCTCACTCATTGCTATCACCAAAAATAAAACAGCACTGAGTAAGAAACATCAGCACAGCGGTTCTTTGGTGGGAGCCAAGGGACCAAGCTATCCCTATAGATGCACCTGTCCTCCCGTGCCAGGGGCTGACAAATGTTTCCTGAAAGGGTCAGCACGTAAATACCGTAGGCGAGGTAGGACATACGGTCTCTGTCACAGGTGTTCGACACCAACACCATGAAATGAGAGCTGCCAGAAACAATATGTAAATTAACAGGCATGGCCGTGTCCCTCTAAACCTTATTCTTGGACAGAGAAATGTGAGTCACTTGTCATCCAATGGTGGTTTGTTTATTTTTCTCCAACTGCTTAAACTGTAGACTTTTCTCAGCTTAGAGATCTCATGAAAACAGGCAGTAGGATTTTCTAGGACAACATCCACAGGCCTGACACAGTTCATGTTTAAAGTCTAAACTCCTGCAGGTCA